CAAATAGCATACAGCAAAACATGTTCCAAGACTCCGATAAATTTGGAATGTCACAGCTTGAGATTATGATATAGGTGATTTACTTTCAGAGAGTTAGGCAAGGCACTTTATTTCACTACTTGTAAAACAATATTTTCTCTTCAATCTAAACATTTTATGAAACAAATAATATATTCCGATATCAGAAAAAAGGTACTTAATTATTACATATTCAGAAATTTATTAGGAATTAAATATACAATTTTTAAAAAGTTAAAGAAACGGACACCTAAACACTATTCATTCTAAATCTGTGTCAATAATTAGTTTAATTATTAGAAATGTTAGTTTTATTACTATAAAATTATTAGCTTAATCAATTATTATTTACCAACTTTAAAAGTGGATTGTTTTTCTTACCAGTTTCATGAAAAATATTTTGAATTATCGTAAAAACCAATATATGAGGTTTTTGTCAAGTACTTTTTGGAGCTGTAGTTTACTACAGCTCCAAAAATCTCTAAGAAAAATTTTATTTTTGTAACACTATTACGGGAACTTATCACTAGACAGACTGAACATACCTGCATACCTTAAACATCTGAAGGGACAAATGCCACTTTATTAGCCTTTCCACTTTCCATTTTAGTAACATGCAAAACAATTTGCATTCAAAATGTTAAAAGAGTATCATAATCAATTTAATTAAATATATANTATTCCTTTCTGTTAGACATTTCAAAATAAAGAATAATTATCCCAAGGTAAAAGTTACTCTTGTACACAATTTTTGTAATGTTATAAAGAGTGTTATAATAAAAAATAGATATAATTCATTAAAGTTAATATAAAACAGATTTTTTTATTCGTTAGCTGTCATTTAAGTACATATAATGTCATAATTCTATGATTACTGAACTAAATATTACAAAAACAATTTTACATGTCTGAGCGTGACGTTTGTTTCTCCTAAATGAAAGTTAATATTGAAAATTTTTTTTAAAAAAAACAGAGCTTAGCGCGAATGATGCCACTTGGAGCAAACTGGTTTACTCATTCATTTTTGCATTAAAATTTTTTCAAATAGCAGCTCTTATCAGGGGTGAAAGCGAGACGGAAAAGAGGAAAGGCTGGTAGTAAAACCATTTCAGTTATAGCTAGTTTTGGGGAGGAGTTTACTTATTCTATTTTTAAATTTTTCAACAATATCTACTTTATGTTGGAAAAGAAGCAGTTTTATATATATGCCAGAATTATAAAAGAAATCTTGATAGTTACAGATATTTCATTTTTTTCGAAAAAAATGCTGGAATGAAATGTTTTACGTACCAGGTTTTTCTCTTTTCCGTCTTGCTATATAAGGGCTTTCACCCATGGCTCTTATTGTCAATAGAAAAATAACAAACTTAACTTTAACTTAACAATAACTGGACAATTCTCTCCGCGAAAGAACACATCCCATTATACAAGAATGCAGTGGCGCCTTTAGAAAAAAAGTGATACGGTATTTAATCTAAAATGTATGTGTTAGATCTGCCTCTTAGTCATCACCTTCTACATCAAAAAACCTCCACACGGTTTCTTATAAGTAGTCCGCGCAGACTATTTAAAAAGTGAACCACTTGTGCGCATGAAACCAAAACCTTTTATAAAAGTAATTGAGAGAAATTCATCATATATGTTTGATAATTGAATCTGTAGTGGTTGACAAGTGAATAAGGAAAGCCAATAATGTTCATAAATAAAACAAACTTTTAGTCATATATTTTCTACCACTTTCTTATTTTAACTAGATTTTGTATTAAGTGACTCGCTCGGAAAGTGGATATCCCTCACAGTTGTCCGATCGGACTACCTATAAAATACCGTGCGGAGGCTTAATTCTGTCCGATATATTCGTTATGTGTTTGAACATGTATGCACATGCTCTTTGGCGTCATATAGGCTGTGTTTCTCTAAGCTAAAACATTGCCATTGAGGATGTCCTATCACTTTCGATTGCAAAAGAATCTTCTGCATTCCAGTAAAATGATGCGTGTACTTCCGCGGACAGAGCATGCTTTTAACCATAGAGGCTTCACGGGGGAGAAATCCGCCGTATCGAACATAAGTCCATCATCAACTCTCTGAAATTTACTGTTTTTTTATGTGAGATTATTATCAAAATAAATACGCATGTTTATACTATGCCACTCGTTAAATGTATAAAAATAGCAGGCCTTCGAAAAAAGTCGCCTTTATATTCTCTTTTAAAAGGGACAATCCATTAGCGTTCATAAAGATATTAAATGTACGAAATAAAAAATAAAACAGTTTCTTGAAGCCTTTAAAGTTTGACATTTTATTCTTCTCATTTTTAAAAGTGTAAGAAAATTTTTGACAGCCATTCGATCTCTCCTGGCGGAAATAGCCCAAAGCTCATTTGATTATTCAACGACAGAAATTGTCAAAGAATACGTAAAACCACTCTTAAAGCTTTTCGGGTGAGAAATCTACCGTATCGAACATAATTCCATCATCGTGTTAAAATTATCAAAAATTTACTATTTTTATACATGTGATAATTATCAAAGTAAATATGAATGTTTGATTCATTGTGCCACTAGTTAAATGTATAAAAATAGCAGACCTTTTCAAAAAAAGAAAAAAATCACCTTTGTATTTTCTATTAAAGGGGACAATCTATTTGTGTTCATAAGAATATAAATGTACGAAAGAAAAAATAAAACAGTTTCTGGAAGATTTTAAAGTTTGACATTTTATTCTTCGTATTTTTATAAGTTTTAGAAAATTTTTGACAATAATTTGATCTCTTATGACGGAAATAGCCCAAAGCACAAGTAAAACCACGCGCAGAGCTTCACGGGAAGGAAATCTACCGTGTCGACCATATTTCTGTTAAATATTACAAAAATTAACTATTTTAATTTATGAGATTATTATCAAAATAAATATATACGATTCTTTCATTATGCGACTCGTACAATCTGTAAATACAGCAGGACTTTATATTCTCCCACTACCTTTATAATCTCTAACTACCTTTATATTCTCCTGTCAAGGGGACAATTCATTTGCAGTTATAAAAATATTAAATGTACGAAAAAAAATTAAGCCCTACTTTGAGGCTCTTAAAGTATTATATTTTGTTCTCCTCGTTTGTATAAGTGATCAAAATTTTTTGTCTTCCACGACGGAAATAGTCACAACATGCATAAAACCTGGCTCAATGCTTTGATTGATAGAAGTTTATCATATCAACCATTATCACGTTAAAGTTTACTAACATTAACTATTTTTATTTACATAATTAATACGGGACATTATCAGAATAAATATATGTTTCGCTCATTTTTTGACTCCTACAATTTTCAAAAGCAGCATATATTTTCGAGAACGACACCTTTGTGTTTATAAAAATACTAAATATGCGAAAGAAAACACAATTTCTTAAGATTTTTCATTTTATGCAACTCATTTTTATAGGTATTCAAAAAAAAAATTCAGTCATTTGATTCTCTACGATGGAAATAGTCTAAGTAGGCGTAAAAGTGCGCGATAAACTTTAGGTGAGAGAAATCTACCTAATCTACTGTAATCTTGTTAAAATTAACAACAACCAGTTACTCATGACAGTTAGGTCAAGTTTATTCTATCTATAGATCTATCGATATATTCTATCTATAGATATATTCTATCTATTCCTTATACTCTCTTTGCTTATTCCATAAGTGGTAGAAAGCGTTAATATGGAGAAAAGAATCAGTTTTGTGAAAATATAAAACGCTTGAGTGCTAATTTTTTAATATTTTAAAGCTTGCTCCGATGCTCTACTATCTGGGCTCATAAAAATTGCAAAAAATGAGAATACGGCAGTGATTTTGATAATTTTTATCTATGTGGAAAAACGTTATCAAATTGGTAATTTTAAAATATTTCAGTTATTTATCGGTTCTGACGGCCAGGTAATTCTTCATGGAAAGATGATAGCCATAGTTTAAAATTATAGCTTTGCTTCAAGTGTAAACCACTTAAACAGCCTCTTTTTATTTTATTTTTCTTGGCGAAAGAGATTCGAAACACCATGTTAACAGCTTAACTTGTGCGCTCGAGTTAATTCGAGAGCGCTAAACATGCCAAACTGTGCACACTCGAGATATTTCGAGCGGCGTTGTATTTTGTGCTGCTATAATTTTTCACACTCGAATGTAACAGAGAATTGAAAATAACAATGTGAAAGCTAAGAAAAAAAAATCGTTTTATTGATATTTATCATTTACATAGGATTGTAAGCTATAACATTTATTCACGAATAAAATATACAGAGATGCCAACTTACTCCGGACAGCATATATATATTTTGGAGTGGTAGCTCATCAATTGTGATTCTTGGTTTAATAAATTCAATTTAGTAGATTTTTATCCACCACTATTTCTAAATAGTTCGTAGGTTTAGACAATTCACCACTTTATATTTGCAAAATTTACTTAGTAGTTATTTACCGTTTTTTTTAATTATTTTGACGTGTCAGGAGCATTTATCATCTCTGAATATAGTCTTTTTCCATGAAACAAAAGCGCAGTATATCAAAATTGTCTGCCAAAAGAAAAGACAATGCTCTAAAGTGTATTTTTTTACATAAAAAGAGATTTTTTCAGGGTGGTTTTCTTCAAAAACTCTGTGCGTTAAGGGGTTAAAGGAGACAATCCATTTGTGTTCGTAAAAATAATAAATATACGAAAGAAAAAATTTCGTGAGGCTTTTAAAGTTTGACATTTTATTCACCTCATTTTTAAAAATGTTCAAAAAATTTTGTCAGTCATTCGATCTTCCATGACGGAAATAGTCAAAGCACGCGTAAAACCACGCGCAAAGCTTTACGGAAACGCTTGAATTACTGGCGCGAATAAACGGAGCACGTTTTTTTCCCAAGAGTAGCCTTCTGACTTGGCGATGAGCGAGTGTATTGAGAGTGCGCAGAATCTAACCTGTTCACGAATTGCCCAGCCCATTCAGTCCATGCTGAAGCGAAAGAGCCAAAGCCTGCTTTTCTATGATCTTCCGCATCTTTGGAAGAGACCGACTCTGAGTGAAGAGTCAATGCAATATTTTCTTAGTTTTGAGAGTGTATTGTGCAGTTATGTTTACTTGTGCACTCAAAAAGTGTTTTTTTTTAAAACGCCATGAGGACAAAAAATAATATAAGGCAAAAATTGCTTTTTCGGAGTTCAGCGGAGGAATTTTTTTAAAAATGAAAAATTCTTAAAATGAAGGGGATGTTCCTTACGTTGAAGTTGTTATGTTTTACTTGTATTCTGGCTCTGGTGCGGCCAGTGCCTGAAAAAATTCCTATTGGTAAGATACTTGTTTACTATATAATAAATATGAATATATTTCCATTTCATTTTTAATTTAATTTTGTTCATCCTTAGAATAGAGCGTAGACCAAATTCATTTCTATTTTTCTTTTGATAAATTACAATTGTTCGTTTTCACGTGTTTTTTTAAATTTCAATTTTATTCCTTAATAATTGAATTTCTTTTTTTATATAAATTAATTTAGTTATTTTTTTATCAGTTTTTCCAAAACATTATTTAAAATGTGCTACATTAAATTAATGTTATCCTGTTAATTAACAATATCATTTTATGAAAACTGAAATTAGAAAAAAAATAGTTGTAGTATTAAATTAAATGAAGAATTAAATATTACGTATATGTCTTTTATTTACTTATTTTCTCTTTTTGTCCTAGAATACAAGTTTAACAATATTAATTAATCAAAGCGTATTACGATTACGCATATGGAAATTTGTATAGCTCATAGGAATTTTAACAACAATTTGTAAAAAGTTTAACAACAATTCATAAGAATTGTATGGTCAGAACTAAATATTCTATTGCTCTTACAATCTTTATCCATCCCCTATTAAAAACTTTTCTATACAATCCTGTCATATGTTCACATGCTAGTTTCAGAAAATAAATAAAAGTTAGATAATGTATAATTCGTTTTGCAATCAGTAGTATTTAAAAAAAGTTCCTTACACTCTATAGCACCTAATCGAGCACGGTAAACATACTTACCACGAAAAATATAGCGTTAAAATTTTAATTAATTTATTTAAAAAAATTAAATGAGTTTTTTCTTTTATAAATACCTTTTCCAAAAATATTTTCATTGACCTTTACTAGCAATAAATGACCCATTAATGTGTTTAAAAAGGAGATTATTATTCTAATTCTCATGCTTTTAATTTTTAAGTAATTCCAGTTTTGTTTAATACAATTGCACCAAATAAGTTTTAGTTAGTTTGCTCGGAAATTTATTTTCTGAACAATATTATTTGAAGCATTTTTTTTTCTTTTTTTAAACGTGGATGCTGGCTTTGTAGCAGCAGTTGAATAATATATATATATATATATATATATATATATA